CCTTAATGAAACCTCCGCCCTGACACCACCGCCCACCTGAGTTACGGACGACTTTTCGAACTCAGGCCCTAACACAGAAGCCGATGCCTGTTTTTTCTGCCCATTACGAACTCCCATGTGACATAAACATACTTCCCCCTTTTTTTTTTGTTTGTTTTTGGCCTAGATCCGATACTATTTAGCTGAGGTCCATACACGTTTGCCCCGTCATTATAGCTGCATCAGGACTGAAAGTTGCACCAAATACAGCTAGAATAGAATGACCGGATGAGACTGCATATATTTTGTGGGAAGGGGAAGTGTATTCGGAGCCCTTTCGGTCCCAATACAACGAGAATGACCGTAATGAACCAATCATTGACCGTAAATGGTAGAAATCTGTGACTCCTGCATGGGCAAAAAGTACAAGCAGTAAGGTCATCATACCATTCCCTAAATACTGCTGCCGACTTGTTGACCGTTCTAATTCTCATGCATCCACCCAAAGACTGCATTCGCAAAAACTAACATCACGGACAGCCCAACATACTTAGAAAGCACGCCCTCAAAAATCTTATTAAAATTTAAATATCCCACACCATGTGAGCTCATTCTTCTGTTGTTCTTCATCTGGGCCCATGATCTGGCGAACTATGCGGTGGAGGAGGTCGGCTCGTCGCCGGAGGAAGAACTTCAAGGCAGTGGAGAGAGTTTGCAAGGATACGCGACGACGGTAGGGTAACGAGTATAGGTGACGAAGAACAACTATGTTTGACGTTGGTCGGAAGAAAAGGGAAGTAGATGGATGGATATCATGTGTGCTACTAGTGAGGGGGCTAGCTAGTAGGATGGGAATAGGGCATAGCAGCAGCGGAGATGGTGGCTCTGCTGCAGTAAGTCTTGCTGGAGTGGGGTAAAGAGGATTGGTGGGGGGTGTCCTGAAACGTAGGACTTGCGGGTTTTCCTATTAGCCCTTTTGAGGTGGTTCCATGAGCAGCGGGTTTAAAAGGTTAGCAGTATACTCAATCTTTCTAAAAAAATTGTCAAACCGTCCGCGGTATTTCTCAGCCGAAGCTGGGTAATGACCCCAGTATTCTGATGTTTGTACAATTCATATGGGACGCTGGGCCCGGTTCCCAGCACATGTGGCTCCCCACAAATAGATTGGAGCATTTATCCAAAAAAAAAAAAAAAAACAGATGTTAACAACTTAACATTGTTAGAAAAAATAATAAATAAAAATCCTTCCCTTGATCCTATTCTTATAGAGGATATGGATAAACTTATTCTCCCCTCGACCAATCCCAGGGTCCCCTTCCAAACCATTATTACAGACAGGGCACGGATCAGACAGCCACAGGGTTCCTGCAAGGCAATCAACAGAACAGATGATACATGTTAGGGCATTCTCAACTCTTGAAGCGGGAGAGCAACACCAGTCTCGGGCTCCTCCTGGAGGGCGATCTGGTGACAAGGGAGTCGAGGGACGGAAGCTTGACCCATCTGCCCGATCTTCTTGCCATTGTGATCAAGGAATCAGGAGGGGATGAATCCGCAGATCCTGAGGTCAGAGGGGTCTGCGGGGATCCAGACGCAAGCTCTACCTGGGACTTACCATTATGGCATTACCTATCGTCGCTACCGATGCCATCGCTTCCGAAATGGTCTTCTGCTTCTTCAGGGGTCGAGGACGAGGATGCTTCCTTATTTTTACCCTTCACTCCGCTTTCCCTCTTGATATACTTATAGGGGAGAAGGGTTCTCACACACGCTCTCGGGAACTTTCGCCTTTCCCAAGGCTGACCGGCCACAATCGCATCATAACCCATGGCAGGATTATCTACAATCGTTGTGGTGAGGGTCATCATGATCTGCCTTATATGGAGAAACGTAACCGACGCAAGGGTAGCAGGCTTCCAATAGCCGGCTAGACACGTCAGCATACTCAAGACCATTGACTTGAGCGTCGAACCACTCGGAAAGAAGGTATTGACATTCGCAAATACATACCATAAGAAGTGGTCAAACCATGTCGGACCCTTGCCACAATCTGATCCTTTCGAATTAGAACAATGACACTTGAAATAAGGTCCACCATAATTCTACTAAATTTTCTTCAACTCAGTGAGCTGTTTCAAATAACTTGGCTGGGCGCTACTCTTTAACATATACTAAGGGATC